TTTGGCCATACAAGGTCAAATACTATGGTCCTAGGTATAATAAAAGGAGAACGTAGCATGACTAAAAGCTCACAAATGATTTTTTTTTTTTTTTCATACATAATATACACACCAGAATTAATGGAATGAAATCTTGGATTTTTTTCCTTTGTTTGGTCATAGAGCTCAAGGCGATGGCTGAACAACAACTAGGAGTGCTAAAGGCACTCGATATTGCGAAGACGCAACTTTACCATTTTACGGCGATTGTCATCGCCGGTATGGGTTTCTTTACGGATGCCTACGATCTTTTCTGTGTCTCTCTCGTGACCAAGCTCCTTGGCCGCCTCTACTACTTCAATCCGGCCTCAGAGAAGCCTGGCTCCCTTCCTCCTCATGTTGCGGCTGCGGTCAACGGTGTGGCTCTCTGTGGAACCCTTGCTGGTCAGCTTTTCTTTGGATGGCTCGGTGACAAGCTCGGAAGGAAGAAAGTGTACGGTATCACTTTGATCATGATGATTCTGTGCTCCGTCGCTTCTGGTCTCTCCTTCGGCAACAAAGCCAAAGGAGTCATGACCACTCTTTGCTTCTTCAGGTACAAGTTTCATCCAATTGTAATATCATAGCGGAAGCATGTTTTAAAATTAGTCTGGTTTCGACCTGATATCTATGTATTTAAAAAATTGACCCCAAAAAAAAAAAAATCTATATGTTTAAAACTAAATATTAACGTATAAACAATTTTGCTTAGGTTTTGGCTAGGATTCGGTATTGGTGGTGACTACCCTCTTTCCGCCACCATCATGTCTGAATACGCAAACAAGAAGACTCGTGGTGCTTTCATCGCGGCTGTGTTCGCCATGCAAGGTGTCGGTATCTTGGCCGGAGGTTTCGTGGCACTTGCCGTATCTTCCATTTTCGACAAGAAGTTCCCAGCTCCGATCTATTCAGTCGACAGGGCTCTCTCAACACCACCACAAGCTGATTACATTTGGAGAATCATCGTCATGTTTGGTGCTCTACCCGCAGCCTTGACTTACTACTGGCGTATGAAAATGCCAGAAACCGCTCGTTACACCGCTTTGGTGGCCAAGAACATCAAACAGGCCACACAAGACATGTCCAAGGTCTTACAAGTGGAACTTGAGATGGAAGAAAGAGCGGAAGAAATCGTTCAAGATCCAAGACTTAACTATGGATTGTTCTCCAAGGAATTCGCTAGACGCCACGGTCTTCCCCTCCTCGGGTGTACCTCTACTTGGTTCTTGCTTGACATTGCCTTCTACAGCCAAAACTTGTTCCAAAAGGATATATTTACCGCTATTGGATGGATCCCAAAGGCAGCAACCATGAATGCAATCCACGAGGTTTTCCTGATCGGTAGGGCGCAAACCCTCATCGCACTTTGCAGTACTGTCCCAGGTTATTGGTTCACAGTCGCATTTATTGACATCATGGGAAGGTTCGCTATCCAGCTGATGGGATTCTTCATGATGACCGTATTTATGTTTGCCATTGCCTTCCCTTACGACCACTGGATCAAACCAGACAACCGTATCGGATTCGTGGTTATGTACTCGCTCACTTTCTTCTTTGCCAACTTTGGACCAAACGCAACCACTTTCATTGTACCGGCTGAAATCTTCCCGGCCAGGCTAAGGTCCACATGCCACGGAATATCAGCTGCCACAGGTAAGGCTGGAGCCATCGTGGGAGCCTTCGGGTTCCTATATGCGGCTCAATCGCAGGATAAGGCCAAGACAGACGCAGGATACCCACCAGGCATTGGAGTCAAGAACTCATTGATCATGCTTGGTGTCATTAACTTTGTCGGTATGCTTTTCACCTTCCTTGTTCCGGAGCCAAAGGGCAAGTCATTGGAAGAACTCTCCGGTGAGACTGAGGTTGAGAAATGATAACGGACGAACACTAGTTATTGATTTGTGATGATGAAATGATTGTATTTCTATTTTAAGTTTATTATTTGGAGTGCGATGTTTTATGTTTGGTTTTGTTTTCATTTTATGTGTATCCTTACCCCGATTTTCTGATGTTATAAGAATATTATATTCTGCATATCTATGGTTTGATTAATTTTTATTTTAAATTTTGAAACTTATTCCCTCTAGTGGAATATAGCCTTCCTCTCTAAATTAGATAACTATTACGGAGGATCTCACGTTAGAACATCGTTAACCATGATACTTTTAAAGTTTCTTAAAGCATTGTTTATTATTAATTTAAATATTAATTTAGTGTTTGAGATTCATTTACTTTTTGCTAATATTTGTGTGTCCAATGATTGATATTCAAATGAAGTTCTAAAGAATAAAAAAAATAATTTATGAAAATGTTCTTGAAGTATAATCACTTCATCCTCTTCCTTATAAAAAATAAGACTCAATCTGCAAGTAATTGCAAGTGCTCATAAAGGACTGAATTCACGAATGTAGAATCTCTTCTGCGTAGTCATTATGATTGTTTGACACAGAGCAAACTATCGCCTGGCGCGGACTAAACCAGAAAGGCCATTTCCCTTTGTAATGCTCCAACAATATGGCAAACATACGCTCAACAGATCCCAACACCGCTCTATGTATCATCACAGGTCTCTTTCTCTTCACTTCATCCTCTTCCTTAGCCGGCAATGCGTATTAGCGATCCAGAAGTTAAAAATCAAGCTGATATGAGTCAACAACAAAAAACAACACACTAATTAAAAACCTACGTACCAAAAGAAAAAAAGAAAAGAAAAAGAGATCACGAGCCTAACTTGTAAAGTAGCACATTGGATTTTCCTTTTCATTGCATCAGAAACTGATATGTCTATCTTTGGGCCATAAAATGGCCCGTCTCCTTCGTTCAACTGCAGAAAACATCACACTTAAAGAATGAATGCATACTCAATGAATTATAAGCTTGAGTTGGAAGAATGAGAAGTAGCACACATACAAGGAATGGCTTCCCAAAATCTTCTAGTGCTTGTTCAAGGTCACTGTCGTGTCCTCAGGAGGCAAGTCATTGATGGTTTCAACCTTTGATTATTAAAAGCATAAGAATGAGTCCAAACAACACAATTCCCAAACGGATGCAGATTATAAGGGAGTATATATCAAGTTCAATGAATTTTTAAGTAACTAGCTAACACACCTTAAACTCATCTCAAGTGCCTGATCCTTGGTCACTTCAATCCTTTCAAATCGTTGTCCTTCCTGATATGTAGATAGGATTAGAATTGGAAACACTATTGAGTGACATATATCATTCAGTTTCACAAAAAGATTTGGAAAAGAAGCAAACATATTACAAAATCTACTGTAAGAGAAGCAATACCCGAGCAACTTTTGCAACACCTGCTTCAATGCTGGGAAAGTGTTGCTCGTTTAAACTCAAACCACCAATATGTAACAGTGAAGACACTCTAAAGATTTCCTTTGATTGAGAATCAACAGAAGCAGAAAAGCCTTACCTTTAAGTAACGTGTACAATTCTTTGGGATCGATGAATTTGTTATGTATGACAGTTTGTTGGCTTTATATTCTTCAGGAATGCAGTCAACATCATACCGGTCTATAATTTCAATAGCCTGCCATTGAAGGATTTTAAAAAGTTTGCTCCAGAACTTAAAGTTCAACTACAAGATATACGGTTTTCGACTTACATCACGAGAAGCACGGAGAGTAATGAAGCCAGTTGGAATGAAAACAAAACCCATTATAAGAAACACTCTTATGACCTGCAAGACATGACCTTTGAGTGTAAATTTCTATCAAAGCTATGGACTTTTATCAAACAATCAGAATAGGTTACATAAATTCTATCTTACTAACCGATGTTGGTGTTAAGACTGGCTTACAAGCTGGGAGTTTCTGTTGCTTAAACTGATACAGAGCTGCCAAA